CTTCTCCCTATTTTAAGAGCTGGAAACCTGGCTCAATATCAACCTTGACCAATGGCTGAGGTATGTTAGCCTTATTTTTAATGTTGAATACGTTTCTTACCCTGAAACCTTCTTCTTACCAGAAACTTTCTATTTCCGAGGAATTTAAACTGTGTGCAATGCCCTTCAGGATGACTGCTAAGCTACGACTACTTTTGAGTTGGAAGGTATAGAAGGACTTCTTTTCCTTTTCGAAATTACTTGCCACCTTGCGTTAGCTATTTTCTCCGTAGGCTTGGACTTTCACTTCCTGGATATTTCCCTTTTTAATTGGATCTACATGGAAGTTATTATTTCCAATTATATCTACCAATTTGTTGACAAGGCTGCTAGAGTTCGCTTCTCTAAGATAAATTGGCGGCGGTTTGGACGTTTTCTGCACACGCACTTGATCATCAGCATCAGAAAGCAATTGAAATCGATTGTTGCTCATGCTGTCTTTATCTCTTGCAGTTTTCACAATTTTGTTCACAATTTTTTTGGGGTGACTGTTTCTTTTTTACAAGAAGGTAGCGATCGAATCCCGTTTGAATTACTACTTTCTTTGCAGAGCTTTTTGCGGAAAGGTCTTGCGTTTCGACTCTAGAAGGAGCTGGAGGAGTTGCGGTAAGGAGCGATGGAGCCCATGAAGGGGTGGTAAAGTAGTCCTAAAAGGGATTATAAGAGCGGACGGCTCATTTTCCAGTCGTTTTTTTCGATGTTGGTGCTGTTGTTGTGGCGCTTGTTGTTGCTGTTGGCTTTTATTAACGTTTCCACGTTGTGGCGACCGATTTAGTACCACTTTTGCAAAATAACCAATTTAGTGCCAAAAAAACAAGGGATCTTGCAACACAGCTTTTTGGCAATTCTAATTTGGAAACGGCACAAACAAATGCAAATTGTCCTGCATTCTTTTAGGCGCCTTTCTTTAACACCAGAGCTTTTTATATTTGTTTTATTATTATTATAATGTACCAGTTGACCCGACAGACTTCGTCCTGTCAAAAAAACTTGTAATGTGGCAGTGTTTTGTTCCTATCTTTTTTATATTCTTTGCAAAAAATTATCCTGAAAGAACCGTCACCCTGGTAATATTCGGGGTGAATTAAAAATAATTAAATAAAACAATATAAGCATTTAAAAGTAAGTAATTTTAATCATGTAAATCATAATTATTAACAAAAAAAAATCAGTTCTATTTTCATTGTAGTGCTTTGTGATAAACGACGTTTTTTGTTTGATTACCTGGCGCATAGAGAAACAAATCTGATGGTTTTCCAATACGGGAACAGGCGACATACAATTGACCATGTGAGAAACATGGGTTTTCCAAATAAATACCACAAACACTTAATGATTGCCTCTGGGATTTGTTTATGGTCATAGCAAAAGCAAGCCGAACTGGAAACTGTAGTCGTTTAAACTCAAATGGCACATCAGTCGGAATCATTGGGATGCGCGGTATGAGAACATCTTCTCCTTTATACTTTCCTTTCCATATAGTTGCTTCTATCACGTTGTTTAGTAGTTTTTCTTTATCGCTAACCATATGCCGTTGCAAAGGCGCGGTTGGTTGATATTTCGAAACATTAGAATTACCGATCCAACCTTTCATTGAAGATTGTGAGGTGGCAATCCTGGCAAATCCAGCAAGCTTAAAAATTCCGAATCAACTGATTTATATATCCTCGATTCGCCTTTAATTTGTTCTTGAATTTTGAAATTTAATTCATTTACATCAAAGTTTTTGGCTGCCAATATAGCTCGTTCGCTTTACCAATCGTGGTTTCTGTAATTTTGAGCAACATCTGGAAATACCTTCTGAATGAGTTCTTCTTTTGATTGAGTTAAATGACAAAAACTTTGAGGAAAGTTCATGCATCCAGTCCAGAATATGTTTCCAGATTGGTCATTCTGCAACCTACATTTCTTAGATAACAGTGAGTGCTTGTAATTTAATATGAACTTTATATAATAGCAATTAAGCTCAAATTGATTCTACGTTTTAGTTAGAAAACGTTTGTATGTGAAAAAGAAAAGGGCTGTTTTTAGGGTTTTCCCGGCAATTATTCGATTTTTTCTCGCCGTAAGAACCATCCTTGGACTTCAACGAACATTTAAAAAAAAAAGTGACCAATTGGTTTAGTCGTTGTTGAGTTATGCGCTTACCAACACATTTTGCGATTCATTTTTATATATATTAAACTATTCTTATACAGAGCGTTGTAGAAAGAGAGCAGCGCAAAACTGATGAAGCAAGTTGTAGGAATCTACTTTAACATTTTTAATTTTTAGTTTCAAATATTTTTACTTTCTGAATTATAAGAATTTTCACTTTCAAACAAACAAGAAATTTTTAAATACATTTTATTAAAATAAATAAAATATTAAACTAAAATTTATTTTTGTATTTGCTTAATGGACACTCTGCAAAAGAGTCTACCGAAGAGGTTAACATAAATTTTAGCGACATCGCGTCACGCAAAACAATTTAATACGAAAAGTGTATTTGAACAAAAATATCATTCCGCCGAAGCAGTCCTTCAATAAGAATGAAATTTAGGAATAAATTCAAATTTGGACAATGTACAGTTACTCCGGCGTCCACCATAAAATGATAACTAGCTTTACACATGCATTTTTAACAGTTGCAGGCTGACATTGTTGTTGATGTTAATACTGGTTCCCAGATAGACGAAATTATGTATGAACCCGAAGTTATGACTGCCAACAGTGACGTGAGAGCCGGGTCGTAAACGCGATGACTGTTTGATGACAGGAGAAATTTCGTCTTGTCCTCGTTCACTACCAGACCTATTCGCTTCGCTTCTTTATCAAGTCTTGATAAAGCAGAACTCGCGGCGCGGTTGCAGAGGCCAATAATGTCGACATCATCGGCAAACGCCAGCAGCTGCACACTCTTGTAGAAGATTGTACCTTTTCTATTTAGCTCTGCAGCTCGTATTATTTTCTCTAACAATAATAAAAAAGGCACACGATAAAGAGTCACCTTGTCTGAAGCCTTTTTTGGTATCGAACGGATCGGAGAGGTCCTTCCCGATCCTGACGGCGCTTTTAGTGCTGCTTAAGGTCAGTTTACACAGCCGTATAAGTTTTGCGGAGATACCAAATTCAGACATAGCGGCGTAAAGGCAGCTCTTTTTCGTGCTGTCGAAGGCTGCTTTAAAATCGATGAAAAGGTGTTGTGTGTCGCCTTTTTTGCGGATTGGGCGGAACACACTTAGATTTCAATCGTCGCGAATGCTTTCATCCGACCGTATTTTGCAAAGAAGCTTATCATGCACCTGATGAGTTCCTCACCGCCGTAAAGCCGCTTTGTTGTTTTTCAAGCGGGCGATTGTTATTCGAACTTCCTTATAGTTCCATCGTCATCAATTGGAGTTTCGTGTACACCTCCGGGTGATTAATTTTTACTGCCATTCAGCACTGAAGCAGTGTTTCCTCCATAGATTCAGTATGCTCTGGGCAGCCGTCACTAGCTCACCCCTCTGGGTCCTACAAGAGCTCGCTTCGGTATTGAATCCCTCTGTAAGTCGCCGTATCTTTTCTTTGAACTCAAGTTCTTCGTACTCACGCATCTCGGCCAGTTTTTCTTCAGCTCTCGGTATCTGTCACACCCCGCATGTGTTGTTGTCGATCGCAAGGTTGCGAGGTAGGCAGTCTGCTTTCTCTCTTCCGCCTACCACAACATGAGCGTTATGGGTACAGCCGTGAATTTTCTTGTGCCGGAATCTAGTGCTACAGGCAACTATGTTTCGGGTTCCGACGAAGTCGATCAGCCTCAGCCTATTTTGGGATGATTCGTCGTGGAGGCTGAATTTTCCGACAGTAGTTCGTTCTAGCGTTGAAGTCGCCAAGCGCAATTCAGACGTCGTGGGCGGATTTAATCTGCGAAATTTTTTGTATCAAATACCAAGAGAGTGAATGAATTTTTTAGTAGAAACTAAAGACCCATCACAAAAGATGTGACATTGGATAAGATCGAACGGATCCCAGGCTCGCAGTGGAAAAATTGGTATGGTATGATGAACAGCCAGATAATCTCAGTAGTGTATGGAGTGAAGAACTGAAAAATGTAAGAGACTTTAAAATTCCTAGATGCTTTTCTGAACTTATGTAGCACAAAAAAGCAGCTACACATATTTTGAGACGCTAGATAGACGGCAATAGTCCTGGGTGCTTACTAGAGAATTGAGTCGCAAAAGGGCGTTAAGCTATTTTTTGTTGATGAAGTTCGAATTTCCCACTAACGAAATGTATATCGATATATAAGTAACTGTTTACAATTCTGATGGACAGTGAAAAAATGGTCCAACTTTTCTAATTCAATCTCCAAGTAGTTGGCTGACAGAAAATACCATAAAAGTCTATGGCGTTACAAAGTGCGCTGACCGAGAGTCTCGTACCAAATAGGGCATTGAAAAGCTTTCGTACATCTACGAAACAGCCTCATTAGCACCACGAACGATAACGCTTCCACCAGTTGTGGGTAATCGCCAAAGCTCGTTAAACATAATACTTGGGAGTGCTGGTCTAATAAACAATAATAATTAAGTCGATATTAAAATCAATTGGTTTTTATAATAGTACGTATAAGTGATAAAAAAAACTAATAAATTTTTAATTTTAATTTGCAAATATCTCAATAAATATAGGTTTTGGTGAAAGCGGCGACAAAACGTCCAATGTTTCAAGCAGAACTGAACTGCGGTTGATTGGGATAGCCGAAAGTGGATATAATATGAGCAATAATGTGTACATTCGTCAGGTCAAACGCTCTTCGATTATAAATTTTGTGTAAATTCGTTGACAATTTTCTACGTAAACAACGGCCAATATATTGCAAAAGTATAGAAGTCAATAAATCAAACCGTGGAACTATAGAAATAGTTTCACATACCGGAAAACCTCGTCATAATCTTTTGTAGGTGTGAGTCATTTCAAAAAGTATAATGTTTATGTATTAATTAATGTTAAGGGACTTAAGGTTTTATTTTAATTGTTATGAAAAATTCGCAACATATGCGTACAAAATATGATCGTTTACTTTAAAGTAATATATACATGAATTAAAAATGTACGCCATTTTATCAGTTCTATTAATTACAGTATAATTTTATGGAATGACATGACGAACCTTGGGTATTAAAATTCAAAAGATTAGATACAATAAAAGATTTTTTTTTTCGATTATATGCAAAATTGAATATTTTCAAGGTTTGGTTTTTAAAGAGGAAGTGTACATGTTAAAATAACAACATAATTGAACTCTTCATAATATATTGTTCAAAATCTATCTCCATTGTTTTGCTGTTTTATCTTCTTAATATGTGCATATTTAATAATCTTAACTGTCAGCTTTTATTGGTCCAATGTTATTATCAATAGTCATATTCGTTGTCCTGCAGGAAAAAAGTCTTGTTATAATTATATTATTATTGCTTGGAGCTTTTTAAACTTACTTTTATCATATCTTTAGTTGATGTCCGGAATCTTGTATCTTTTTCACTAAAATCACGGTCCCTGCTATGTTTTGATCGTTGAATATAATCAAACTTCGGCCCGTAACGATTTCTATATTCATTATTATCCCTATCTACGTCGTTATCAGATCTATCATTTCTTTCCTTTTGATGGGTATCAGAATGCATGTTTGTTTTATGACTTTCGTTTCGGCGCTGATCATTTACGGTGTTATGAAGATTTCCTCGAAAAGAATTCCGTTCTCGAAAGTTGGCACCACTGCCGACGAAAAATTTTTGAGATCCCCCAACTCCTCGAATATCTCTTTCCCTATCTCGATCGTCGTTTTGACGGCTATAATGTCTATTTATAGTGGATGTAATTGATGAATTATCATACACGGTTGGTTTTTTCAAGACTTCCTCTTCTTGTTTTTTCTCGTAGTGATAAAAATCATCAAAAATGGACGTAGAATGTTTATAAGAATGGAGTATTTGAAGAACTTCGATACCTTTAGCATTGGGCACCTCTTGAGTATCGCGCGAGTTCGTAACAGATTTATTGTCATTGTTCTCTAGACGTATATGCCGTAATTTCGTGTTGGGAACATCTTTAACATAAATCCATTTAACTTTAAATTTTCCTTTCCACTTATCTTGGGACCAAACGCTTGATGTAGAATTATAGTCAACAGCTGTCATCATTTGAGCCATTCCACAGAAATGACCGGAGCCATTTACAGAGAAAAAAAGTAGAAGTTGTGCACCTTCCTTTTGACGTTCTTTAAAAGCGTCATCCAATCTTTTATTGCCATGATCGGTTGAACACCAAATCTCATATTTTATGCTTCGATGAATGTCATCTTCTGAATATGACTTAATAACAAAAAATCTGAAATTACACAAGATATTAATTATTATTATTATATGAGCATAGTAAAACAACAATAGGGTTGCTAACACAGTTATGCAATTTTTTAAACAAGAAAGAAACAACATTTTTTAAACAATATAGGCCAAATCAGAGGCAAATAGGCGCTTTGGAGCCACTAAAGCAATCTTGGCGAGCTTGTCCGCCGCTACGGTTTCTATTATAATCTAAATTGTACGATGTGTAGTTATAATAATATTTAATCTTATTCTAAATCTGACCATTATTATTAATTAATTAGTGAACTTAAACTCGATTAAAATCAAATGACTTAAATTAATATCAAAAATATGCAATTAATAGTAGCTATATAGATGGCGCTTTGCAACTGATGAAGATATTTTCGGCCGAGCTCCTCCTCCAGTTTGTGGTATGCGTCTTAAAGTTTTTCCAACAAATGGAGGGATCTACAGTATATTATAAGCCGCCTTCGGACTACCGATGGATTTTTCTGACGAAATTTAAATTCATTTGACTTTTTATTTACAGTACTATTATTATAATAAACTTCATTTTTGTATTTAAAAAACGTTCTACAAATCTTAAGGTAGGTTGAACCAGGATCTTCCGCAGCCACCACCAATTTTCAAGTCAATAAATAGGGAAAAAGAAAAAAATTTTGACGGCGGTGGTAGTAAGTGATGAAAGCTAGTACATAAATTTTGGTTTATACGGAAGTAGCATAAAGCTAGAAATTTACTGTTAAGAGCAGCGGAGGTTTGGCCAGGGTAAATGGTTGAATTTCCGTTCAAAGACTCTTTAACGTTTCTTTGCAAAACCAATTATAATAAAAGTTGGACAAAATACAGAAAGCAACAATGTATAGTGGATTCAGGTTGTATAAATATAAAAAATTTTAAATGTATTTTCTTGGTAAATAGCGGAAACCCCAATGTTAATATTAAAGGTTAATGGCCCAATAAAGACATAATATATTAGGCATTTACCTTGCTGATGATGCAATGTTTAAGTCGATTTCCATCGGATTATAGTTGTTTTTGTCATATAGTTTTTCTAGAACGGCATTCGAAGCTTCTGGAGACAGTTCATCAGCAGTTGAACTTGGCTCGAAATTTTGTTCAACATCACGAGCTGCAGACTGTTGTTCTGAACGTGTATAGTTATTTCTACGCTCAGAAATTCGGCTTTGATAAACATTATTCACAACATTGTTATCGGAACGCCGAACGTGACTTAAGTTTGCTGATCCAAGCTCTCTACTATTTTGTTCAAGGGGCTGTGCAGACCAGTTCTTGCGCGAATTAGCTACAGGGGAAGTTCGCGCGCGTCCATAACTACTATTATTATAAGTCGATTTATTTTCTTCACGGGCAGAATGAATTCCTTTGTGGCTTTTATCTGCATGTACCTCAATTTCATAATCACATCCAAATGCAACGGGATAATTGGGTTCAAGCTCGGCAAATGTTTTATTAGTCGAAATGGGTGGTGACGGCAAGGGTGGAGGATTACTATTAGGCAACTCCCATGAGTTTACATCCAAATTATGTTTTCCTGGAACCATTGGCGGAGGCGGCATACCCGGACCTTTCTTTTTATGGCTAAGAGTTGAAATGCTTGTCTAAAAAAAATAATTAAATTAAAAAATTGTTTATAATAAAAGTAGTATTAAATGCATTTACTCTTGATGTTAGCTTTGCTGGTTGCGAAGCTATTGAAGCCCAAGTCGTCTTTTTGGGTACAGCAGATGACATTGGAGCATTTGTTTTTTTTTCCTCATTTGACGCGTTTACAATCCCTTTATTAAATTTACTTGGTCCATAAACATTTTCCGTTCTGACAGCCTATCACAAAAGATAATTTTAATTTTACTTCATTTGACTTTTTGTTGAATGGGATAGTTTAATTTACTTACTCTGTTAATGTTTAAAGGATTTTCAGCAATATGTTTGCCTTTTTTTTGAGTACTCCATGGATTGCGTTGAAAATCGTCTCTTTTTGCATTAGGAAAACTTGAAGTCTTTCCATGTTTTTTATTCGAGTCTACAAAAAATAAATAGTTTTAAATATTTCTGTTAATTTAAAAAATTCATTAGAGTTCTAAATCTCTGACTCCTAATATTAGTATTTTGATGAAAGCGAATTAAGCCAAAGCTTGATGTCTTCCAAATAAATGGAGGGATCTACAGTTTATTCTAAGCCGCCTCCAAAATGATTTATAACTTGTAGTCTGAATGGATGAAAGCACTCCAGCTTTGAAAGTATTCGATGCAGTAACCGCTGGTGGAAACAAGAAAGATGAAGACCTTCAGAAAGGATCAGGTGGAGAGCGACCCGGTTTGACTTGGTATTTCTAACAGCGAAAAGAAAATTCGGCACTGACCGCGTAAGCCTTGCCAACGCCAATAAAGAAGAAGAGCATTTGCTTCATGTCATGATTGATCCAAAATCCCTTATACAAAAAGGTTTTGGACACACGTCGTTGCGGCAAAGAAACGAAAAATTAATAAGAAGGGAAAGGACCTTTGAATTGTTCATTGAAGTGGCTCCCGTTTCAAAGCCAGAATGAGTGTCCGCTTTGGACTTTCTTTCGCAAATTAAATTCACCTCGTAGGGGTAATCTTCTTATTTTTTCTCGGCATTTTTACGGCGACGATGACAACAAAAACGACAAGGAGGCAAATGATGCGAGTTTAATTTAAATTTATTTCAAATTATTTCAAATATTTTTGCTTCATATTTGTTTGATGAAATAAATTAATTCGCATAATGAAATGAAATAGGGTGAAATCATAAACTTCATTATTGAATTTATATATATATTTATATTATATTTAGCAATAGCGTTGTTTTATAAGGAAGGTTATTTATTCATAAATTGTATTTTTCACAATTTGTAGATAGATATACATATACGTACGTATGTATATATACACTATACAAAATACTGATCTGCCTCAAGAATTACATGCTTACATGCATATATGTATATTTATATACTCATATCCAAAAACATACATACACATTATTTGCGTGAAAAAAAATTATTCCATCCCTCTAAATACTTCTCTTGTACGACAATAAGATTTGAATTCATAGACGCCTGCGCCCTACAACAAATCAAAGTGCGTTCATTCATAACGAGTTGCTTCTTCGCTGCGTTGACAAAAATCACAAAAAATCGGACGCAAATATAGTCGGGAAAAGTGAAGCAATAACAATTAGCATGCGGTCACAAACTCAAACATGTAAGGAAGACTAAATTCGAGTGGAGTCGAAGTATTCGGCTGATATTTATTTTCTCAAACATCTTAGTTCTTACTCGAGCTATCCTGTGTATAGACGGAAGGATCGACATTCCTAAATCGATTTATCTCAACATTTCATAAGATTTTCAAATTGAAGCAAGTCGGCATCGTGCTGTTAAATTTGCTGTTTGCCATTAGCTCATATTGTGAGGCAAGTAAATTCATGTTATGAAGACGGACAGAATGCAAAATATCTAGATTTTAGGGATGAGGTGCGAATCCCGAGCTATGGCCAAAGAGGGAGGTAGAGGTGTGCTCGGAGAAAAAAAGACATCCCTTCAAGATTTTCATATATATGTATTCTTGCTTTAATATATTTATGTACATGCCATGTCGTTTTGCGCACATATTTAAATCATTTTTTGCAATCCAATGGCTCATTTTTGTTCTTTCACGAAATTTGTTTCGCCGTCATAATTGCCCCGCTGTGCTACGGAAATTGGGAGAAATTCGATGAAAAGTGTATTTCGGCTGTGGCGCGCCACTATTCACCTCAGCAAAATTTTTCAAATCGGTTAACAGTTCTTTCCTCTTTCTTCTTCTTCTTTGGCTGTTGGTTACTATATTTTGCTCAAGTTAAATATCATAATTGGGATTGTAAAGGGAAAGATAGATAAAAAATTATTGAAAATTCTTATTAATCTTCTGTTAATGCAAAATATAAACTTGCCGCAAACATACAGTAAGTCAATTAATTTTTTACAAAATGAAAAAATCACCAAAATCTCTTGAAAGTATTTTATTTTACTTTTTATATTAATTGGTAATGTTGATTTCAGTATTCTTAACAAATATCACTGCCAGAAATAACAAACATTAAAACCGAAATGTAAAAAAAAACAAATTTAGAATTCGCCAAATATTGCGTTGCTAATTAATTCTTTGCAAAATGCCCTCACAATTCAAAATAAAACGTAGATAACTTAACGGTACCACAAATTTGAAAACGAGTGAATGCGTGCGACATCGCTATACATTGCTCTATTATATTTAATTCGAATAATGCTTTGGACAGTTCAGACCTTGTTGATTAAGCACAATTAGTTTATTTCAACTACCACAAAGGGAAATCGGCTTAGGAATTAGTGGAAATGTTTTCCATCAAGCTTAGAACGATTTATAACATTATTAAACGCGCAAAAAAAGGAAACAGGTTTTAATTAAAGCACTCTGGAAGTAGATCACCGGAGCTCTCTAGACGCGATCATTCATTAAAGCAGATCAGTGATAATCCATAAACCACCCTGATAAAATTGGCGTTAGATATTAAAAATGAATGCCATAAAACAGTAAGTCATGAGACAATCCGAAAAGTCTTAAAAATACACAAGTACTCCTCGCAAATAGCTAGAAAGATACCATTGTTGTAGGTCGTTAATATTGAGAAGCGGCTCAACTTTCCTATTGCCAATGTTTACAGGACTGCGGGATACCCAACACAGCTTTGCAACAGAAAATATAATTCCAACAGTAAAATTTTGTAAGCTTTCTGTAATGGTTTGGGGTTGCGCTTCGTCTAAAGGTGTTGGTGAGCTTAGTATTTTCAATGAAAGGATGACGAAGGAGTTTTACTTGGATATTCTAAAGAACGAATTGTCAAGGAGTGCGATAAGATTTGGATTTGTTGACCATGAAAACTCTAATAAATTAAGGTACAAATTGTACCAAGACAACGATCCCAAACATAAATCATAAATCCGCGAAGTAATACTTTATTGATAGTTCCGCGGGGAGAGTGGTAGTTAGTGGAGAGGTATTTAGTACGTAGGTGCAACTGTGAGGTTGCAAGTTTCCTCTTCTCGGGCGTCGCCCCCCNCCCCCCCCCCCCCCCAAAAAAAAAAACAGTGCAGGACCTGGCTACCATTGAAAAAAAAAAAAGTGATTGACACTCCCGCCCAGAGAAAAAAAAAAAACCTCATAGAAAATTTATGGAATTAAAAAAAAAAACGACAGGGCCCAACTAATAAAAACGCTCTTATTAAGGGCATTCACGAAGAGTGGAATAAAAAAAAAAAAAATTATGACTTAAACAACCTTATTCAAAAAAAAAAACGTCGTCTTAGCCTGCCGTATGAACAATGACAATGGTTTAGAATATTCAGTGGGTAGTTAAAAAAAAAAACGGTAACTCTCAAGACAGCCGGTTAAAAAAAAAAAACCTAGCCCCGTTTAGGTTAGCATAAAAAAAAAAATTAAGCTCGTCAACGAAGCAACACAAAAAAAAAAAATTGCTCCAAATCATTTTTATTAAGGCTGGCGATGATTTCTCTAGGGAGGGGGTTCAGGAAAAAAAAAAAAAGACGAAAGCCTCCAAATCTATCAAAAAAAAAAAAATAAGCATGCCGATGCTCAAATCAAAAAAAAAAAAATTTCTCACGAAGGTCCTAAATTAAAAAAAAAAAACCCTAATGATACTTGACGTGTGGAAAAAAAAAAAGGTGGTCCCGCAACTCAAACCGGGAAAAAAAAAAAACAAAGGAGAGTCTTATCGGCCAATAATTCTCCTCTTCTCAGTAGCAAAGACACTTGGGGCCTTACTGCTTCAGACCCTTACTCACCATCTGCGTACAGCACGTCAGCATGGCTTATGAAAAGTGCACAAAAAAAAAAAAGCACTAAATGCCATAAACACCCAAAAAAAAAAAAACCTTAGCCAAAACCGACCCTGCGCAAAAAAAAAAATGGCAGCGTCAAAAGCTTTTGCCACAGTCAATCATTCCGTGCTACTAACGGACACTGAGGAATCCTCATTACCGCCGGGGTTGCAGAGGTGGGTCATGGGCTACCTGAGAGGTCGAAAATCATCGGTAAAAAAAAAAAAAGAAACATCTACCCAGAAAAATTAAAAAAAAAAAAATCCTCTACCCGCTAATGTTTAATTTTTATATATCAAAGCTCCCTCTTCCACCAGAAGGAAAAAAAAAAAAAATATGCCGATGATTGTACGATAAAAAAAAAAAAACAGGATATTGATGACTTCTGTTCGAAAAAAAAAAACTACCTTGCCGATATTTCTCACTTAAAAAAAAAAATACAATTGAAAATACAGCCGACTAAAAAAAAAAAAACCCTCTTCACCAGCTGGACGAAGGAATACAGGATTGAACTAGATGTGAAGGTCGATGAAAAAAAAAAAAAATTGCCGCAATTGCCGCAAAACTAAAAAAAAAAAAGCCGGCAGCACCTGGGGTGAAAAAAAAAAAAAAAAAGCTACAGGCTTGCGAGAACACCAAAAAAAAAAACGAAGCATCTGTGCTACGAGATAAGGACCGCGTGACCTTGGAACAACTTAGGTCTGGATAAAAAAAAAAAATCCAGACTTAACCCCAGAATATCAAAAAAAAAAACCGCATGTGGAGTCTCCGTACGACACTAACCATTTCTTCACATGCCCCCTTAAAACGACAAAAAAAAAAACCCTCTTCCTTTGGCCAGATTCCGTCGCAACAGCTCGTTCCCTGGACCTCCCATTAGGTAAAAAAAAAAATAGCGAGCCGCTACAACAACAACAAAAAAAAAAAAGCCTCTTTAGCCAAGTGGTTAGCAGAACATAGTAACAACAATAATAAAAAGCTGTTCAGAAAAAAAAAAATGCATAGAAAAAAACTAGTTCTCTTAACTTTGTTGAAAAGTCATCAAGAAGCTCACAAGAAAAAAAAAAAGCTCGGTCTAAAAACGCTTGAGCGAAAAAAAAAAATCAATAATATATACCGAGTATATACAAAATTGCGGAAG